AAAAGTTAAGAATATTTGCACTGATCAAGAAATTAGCAAAATTGTTTATTAGTTCAAAGAAAATTCAGCACTGAGGATAAGTCTAGTGATGGAAATGGATATAATTTTGACGTCAGTCTTTGAAACTCGGATATTTCAATACATCCGAAACCATCAGTGTAATTGTTCTAAAAAATTTCTCATCAGGATTTTATCCAAAATCTATATATTTCTTCAAATATTAAATGTTATTTTTTCTAAAACTTTTACTGTTTTGATTGATTTGAAAAATATTTCAGAACAATATCCGTTATTTGAATTTCAAAACAACTCTTTTGTACGAGAATTATGGATGGTTTTTACTTACTGCTGTATTTGTCAATTGCAATGTTTGTTGGAAGTTTTTTGTCTGGATTAATACCTCTTGCATTCAACATGTCCGAGGTGCATTAACTTTAAGACTTCCTTTTTAAACTATTTTCTAAAACTATGTAAAATTGGACTTAGCTATAAATATAGCGTTTGTTTTATGTGAAATAGATCGACGCCACAAAAATATTGCCATTTTCTGGCAAATTATACCAGCTAATCGAGGCCATAAACTGTCATGGTCTCGATTAGCTGGTATAATTTGAATCTTAAAATAATGAAAAGATGAATTACGATTTAAACTGCAGAAAGCTGTTACTAGAACAAGTTTTTCAGGGAAGGACACGTTTATTGAGCACATTTGGAGCAGGTTTATTAGTTGGCACGGCTTTATCTGTAATTATTCCGGAAGGTGTTGAGGCGTTGTACACTGTTCACACTGGTGCTTCATTTCGATATTTTTTTCCTTCTCGTTCTGAAATTACTTTTTTTTTTTGGGAAGCAATTTTGAGGTTTCTATGTTTTGCAAAATATCGAGAATTTTAATAAGAGAATTTCAAGTTTAATGAAATTATAATTCCCATAAAAGTTATCTTAAAGAGCTGATTACGATACTATTGCATAACGATGGAATTTGTCTTTTCTGGTAGTTTAAGCAAGAGGACTTATTGCTGAGAACGGTAGATCCAAAGCTTTGTACTTTACTACTAAGTAGATTAAAGCGGAATGATTTGGATGAGAGGCACTGTAAGCTTAGAGGATAAATAATGCGCTGTTATGCAATCAAGTCAAATTTAAGGAAGAAGTTACATTGAAGGACGATACTAGTTATTTGATTGATAGAGTGATTAGTTATTCTGATGAAGTGGTCCTTGTCAGAAATACTAATGTTTTAATCTATTCGTAATTTTGATCATTTAATATGAATAAATTTTTATAGCATCGTCAAAATTACTTAATATTCGAATGCAAATAGTGAAAGAATTTTTTTTTGATCAATCATAACGATAGGATGTAATCGAATTAACAGTAAAAAAAAAGCTCTAACTCGCTTACATCGTTTCAAATACATGCAACAAGAAAAATAATTCTTTTTTCCTAATTTTAGGAAAGCAATTACCGGAAGCTGTGCAGAATGAAGTTATGAGCCAAATTGTTCTTGTAAATCAACGCGATGTATCGAACTCATTGAACCAGCTTACTGCATCAAATTTAGAGTATTTTTCTTTTGTTTTTGTGAATCAAAAATACAACTTTATCAATAAAAGATTGCTAATATGAATTAACGAATGAAGCATATCGGTAAAGATCGGAAAATTTTAAGAACAAAATTCGAGTCATTTTCTTCTGGATTATTTTTGAAAAGCTAATGGAATTTTTATAAGCAGAATTGATTGGAGTTGAAAAATTTAGAGCAAACTTGGATTTTTATTGTCAAAAATTTTCGATATTGTATAATTTTTTTACTCTAAAATTCACACAATGATTCAAATTAATATTTTTGTATTTCTGCTTCTTTTAATAAAAGGCTAAATTATCTAACTGATTTCGTCAAAAGTGATATTAGGAAAGGAGTGACGCGACAGGTGCAGCGAACTCCTATTATGGGCAAAAAAGGTATGTTTCGTGCAAGGATTTAAGATCTAAGTATTTAAAGAAATAGTATTAGTGACTGATAATCAGTTAAATCAATGAATTCTACTTAATGAAAACTTTGTTTATTCGAAAAATTGATATAAGTTAATACAATCTATTTTCGATCTGATACACATCCAATTACGCTATGATGTAGCGCATGTAGCAGTGAATTTCAGAAAATTTTGGTAGATTTGACACTAGTTTAGCTTTGCTAAGTACATACGTGATCGTTAACAGTTCTGTTTACAAAGTTTGCATTTTAAAGTAATTTTTAGAATTTTTTAAATCTTTGCAGAAATCGATGAGCATAGGCGTCTTGAAGCACCGGTTAATTTCAATGAAATAAATCAGTCAATTGGATATTCATTGGTTATTGGCTTCTTATTTATGTTCCTTATTGACCAAATTTCAAAATTTTTATCATTTAAAGGTTAATTTTTATATGATATTAGTGATGCCTATTTTTCTGTTTTGTTTTTAAATAATTTTTCCTAGTGAACGATTAACGTGATATGTTGAGTACAATGCCAAAATAAATAATTTTGGTTTTTTTAACGTTTAAATTGGTTTTTATCAATTTGAACCTTAAAAATATTAGTTGCTCTTGATTTGATTATCCTTGCATTTTATTCTATTAAAGTTTTCTTTGTTTGGTTGAACCAAGGCAAGTATCTCTTTTTGAGATATAGCGGTTCTCATAGTAATGAAATCCACATGAAACTGACTGCGCCTTTAACGCTGCTCTGGCAGTTTTCAAATTCTGTGATGCGAACATCTCTCAACATCCGAGGGTTTCTTCCGTTTATGTAATGTTTCGGATGAAATGTTAACTTAATCGTAATGACTGAGGTGTATTGTTTAAGTATGTGAAAATAATTTATTCTATTTTAAAATAGGCGAGTTTTAAAGTTTTCATCATTCCAAAATTTTTGTCTTTTTTGATAATTATTACAGACTTATTAAATTGGATTTCAGGTGGTGACCGCACACAAGTTAAACTAACAGCAACGCTTGGTCTGGTAGTGCATGCAGCTGGTTTGTCTTTACAAAAGCTTTATCTTTTATTGTTTTAGATCTTATAGCTCCTCCAGTTGATTTAAAACTGAAATTAGAAGTTGCAACTGAAATTACACATACTACATTTTAATGTTCCCAAATTATTCTTACTGAAACTATTTTAATGCAGATATTTTGAATTGTTTTTTTTTGGAAAATGAAATTTACTTTTAATTAAAAGTTAAAATTTACTTTTTCATAGTATTTGCAGCTGATGGGGTCGCTTTTGGTAGCGCATCTGCAACAAATCGCACTGGTGTGCAGTTTATCGTTTTCCTTGCCATAATGCTTCATAAGGTTGATTTTCGTCACTTTGTGCTGATTTTAATTTAACTGCTTCGATCTGATGATCGAAGTTAACAACATCATCAGCAACACGTTGTTGATAACATCATACGGGCGTTTTCATACGTTGAACATCGATTCATACGTTCATACGTTGAACACTCCAGTACTTATCTAGTGACTTTTTGGTACACTTGACTTTTTCCCGGCTTATTAATTTATTCCTTCATCCTAATAAGTTGGTGTTTTGATTTGTTTCCGGACTACTTTATTATTTCTCTTTTTCTAGGCAAGTTTTTTAAATTTAGGATCTGTATCCTAATTCGCTTAATTCAACATGGTTTTTCTTCTCTACTGCTTTAGCGCAGTGATCTTTAACTTTTCCATGTTATATTATGTTCCTCATCCTTCCTTTTACATATCAACGAAATACTTCAATTCTCATATTTCAAGTTTCGAAGTATTTAAATACGTTAAAGGCTCCAGCCGCGTTCGGTTTGGTCAGTTTTCTTTTGGTGGAAGGTATTGAACGGTTCAGAATACGTCGACATTTAACTATTTTCTCAATTGCAGCTCCAGCGGCTGCAATGGTCACATATTACCTGATTGTTGTTGTAAGTTTTAAAAATTTTTTCTTTGAACGTAACAGAGTGGTCAGGCGTTTTATATCTGTTTTTAATTTCTTTTTTTTGAATTCCAGGTTGAAAGTGATAAGTTCTCAGCAGATTCTGCAACTGGAACACTTATGTTATTTTCGGCTGGAACATTCCTATATGTTGCAACTGTGCATATACTTCCTGAATTGGTAAGCCCATAAAACATAAAACAGTATCAGATAGAAGAGAGTGAAGAGGTATTTTTATTATTGAATAAATCTTAGGTAAGCCCATAAAACATAAAACAGTACCAGATAGGAGAGAGTGAAGAAGTATTTTTTTTTTATTGTTGAATAATAAATTTGATATACACAATCTATATATGCATCATCACTTTATTTACCAAAGTAAATAACGCGAAAGAATTACTTTCAGATGGGCTCAAGCGTCAAAGATTATCAGCTAGCGAACAGTGTTGCAGAAGGTAGTAGTCGAGGACACAGTGAAGCAAGAGCATCATTAAAAATCATCGAATTAATTTCAGTAATCATTGGCGCAATTAGTCCGATATTTTTAGTCAGTGGTCATACTCATTCTCACTAATTCTTGTTATTGTAGTATAATATGTATTGGATTTTCGGAGAATCAAAATAGCAACGACACTCTGTGTTTTCAAAGTTAAATTATATCTTGCCTTCGTAAATGTATGAATTAATACAAGTGATATCGAAATTAACATTAAAATTTATATAAATGATATAAATTTGTTACCATTTTGAAGTTGTAATAAAATGTACTTTCATTAAAAAACACATGTTTTTGTTATATGCTGTAGAATAGCAGACGGTGATAATTACTTGATAGCTATAAATTGAACGATTTATCAATTAAGTGTAATGTATGATTGTTTAGCGGCAGATTAAATATTGATTTCTTGGTTAGTAAAATATGAGACATAATTGATCTGCAAGCAAATTAATTTAGTTGTCAATCAACTAAAATAGTAAACTTGTGCTGGCAAATAAAATACATGCACTGAGTGTTTGATTATAATACAAACTGAGAAGGGATAAAATATAATGGAATGAGTGCTGAGGAAATAAGGGGCAGATAAATAATGATTTTATGTTATCGGAGATAATAGGAGGGAGAAAAGATTTTTATTATCTCGAAAATTGTTTAAATTTTGAAGGTTGAGAAATTTTTGAAAAGAAACCAATATGCATGGTTCTAATACCTCAGTATCTATGGGAAACAGGAGTAGTGTAGTGTAAATAATATAACGGGAAAAA